TTGGCACATGATAGAGCAGGGTTAGGGCTATTGTACATAGGGTTGCCATGAGTTGCAGGCAATTCAGTGGCACATAACAACAAAAACAACCTTGAAAGAAAAGGGGTGGATCTGGCAGTCTGCTTCCACAAGTTCCTTCCTTGAAAGCCTTATGGAACACATTCTAATCTACAAAAGTAGGGTCACTATGGATGACCCTATAGTTGGTGTAATCCATAATACTAGGGACCTCCGGTGGCTTAGTGATAAGGAGTTGCTCTGCCTACCCAAAGACATGCTGCTGTTCTAATCCACTAGCTGTGCAGTAGGAGAAAGACAGGCAATCTCCTCCCATGTGGTTTTCTGTCTCCAAAAACCAGGTGGAGGATCAGCTATGAGTTGATCTACTTGACAGTACACAGCATCAGGAGTATACTAAGAACAAACCTGTATTGGAAGAAGTGCAGTTAGGGTGTGCTTTAAAGTAAAAATGGTGAGACTTTTTGTCTCATTTACTTTGGTTATGTTATCAGGCAGGCCCAGTCCTTAGGAAATGTCATCATGCTGAGAAAGGCAGAAAGTCAGCAAAGGAAAGATGCTCAATGAAATGGACTGACAGTGATTGCAACAATGGATTTAAGCAGTGTGGGGGCTGTGAGAGTGGAGCAAGGTTACAATCTGTTGTCTATAGGATCGCTAACAAGTACCAACTGGTTTGGTTATTGTAGCTTAGCAAATTAAACCTATCGCCAGGGAGCCAGTTCTAACACACTTCAGCAATATATAATAAAGGACACTGCTACCCAAATAAAATTTTCAAAATATTTTCCTCATCTTTTCAGAAATGCCACATTTTTCTCCCAAAGAGCTGCTAATAGGCTGAATCGCCCGACCTTTGGTTAGCAGTGGAAAACTTTTAAAAACACTGTGCTCCCTTTTCTGATGACCCATTTCTGCTGAAAACCACAAATCCAGGACTCCTCCCTTCACTTCCAAAGCCAATCACAAAGCTCGATTGTTTCCATAGTTCTTTCCATTCCCAGTTCTACCACGTTTGCTCAGGACACTAATCACTAGCTTCCTGGACCACTGTAGCCGTTTCCCGCGTGGTATCCTTGCAGCTGACAAGTATCTAAGAGCCGCGAAACCCTTTCATCTTCCATGATCGCCTCCCCACATCATTACACACGGGTCTTGCCTCATCAACTTGTTTGCTCTAACCCAGCTCACTTGTGCTTGCATCTGTCTGTCTCCTGGTCTAGAATCCTCCTGACGCTTGGGGGAGAGGTCGTGCCCTTAGGGCTCACCCAGCCTAGCACAAAAGCAGGCGCTCTGTTGATCACCTCCTTTCTTGTTTCCATGACTTGCCGAAGTGTGTACCCTGGGGAAGAGTGGAGGAGGTTGTTTTCTCTTTGGCGTTAAGCCCTCTCTGCACTCTCACCTTGACAGAGACCCCCTTCCAGCTGCTGAAAGCCTCGTAGGCGGCGTGCACGGCGGCGCGGGCCTCTGGCACCCCATAATCGGCCACTTGGCCGAGCTTGGCTCCGCTGGCTGGATCGTACACCGGGAAGGTGGCGGCGGCCGGGAGCCAGCGGCCACCCACGAAGCCGTCGGTGCGCAGCAGCGCCGGGGGCAGGCCCACTGCGCCCCGGGCATAGCGGCGGAGCGGGGCCGAGCCCGGCGAGGGCCGCGCGGAGAGCCCCAGGCAGCTCGCGCAGGGGCGGGAACCGCGGCCCGGTGGTACTGAAGGGAAGTGTGGAGCCCGGCAGCTTCGCAGCAAAAAGCAGGTCGCCATGGCTTGGGCCTCAGTGGCGGCGGCGGCAGGAAGCAGGCAAGTCAGGGAGCGCGCGTGCACGCTAGTGCAGGGTCCGCGGGGCGGCGGGAGGAGCGAGGAGGAGGTGGCGAGGACCTAGGAGGCGTTGGAGGACGCGGGCTGAAGGTTGCGGAGAAGCGGAGCAGCGCCCTCCCTGGCGTCCTCGGCGCTGCACCGCCGCCGCGGATTCTAGACCGCGTCCTGAACATAGCGGGGCAACCTCCCAGAAAGATTTGGGACTGGGACTAGGAAAGACTCGCTAGGAGATGCATCTGAGATCTGTCATCACCAATTCCTCATGCGGTGCTCACTTATCTGTAACTATTTCTTAGGTTCTCAGTCTCAGGAAAAGAAAGTTATTTACTAGTGACAAACCTTCCCCCTCAATTTGGACATCTCCCGCGCTAAAATCTGGGTCCATAGCAGCCCTGGTTCTTCCCGCGCCTACCACGGGGCATCATGCCCTGACTCCATCTCTGCAGGATTTGGGGCAAAGGTTCTCAGAAAGTTTTTCTGGATTTTCTAGGTTTTCCTAGATAATTTTTGTCTAGGTATTCCTCCAATAATTGGTAGCTAGAGTGGAGTCATCTTGATACGTTAACAGCGAGTTTCAGAGAGGAATAGATTTAAATTCAAAGTCACAGTCTGTCGCTGACAAGCTGTGTGTTTAACCGCAGTCCTCTCATTTATAAAACGCAACAATGCTTACTCCTAGCATTGTGTTATAATGAGGTAATGTAGTTTCTACATGAAATTCAGTGTAGTATTCAAACCATACTCGTCTCTGCTGAGATTAAAAGTTTTTGTGAATTACTACTTAACATGGGAGGGACCAGAGAGCACTATGCAAAGTGAACTCAGTCTCATAAAGACAAATACTGTATAAGACCATTGTTGTAGAACGAGTCGAGGATCCAAGGAGGGGAAAGGAGGTTTAATCACAGGGGCACACAATTTGATGGGTGGAGGGAGGGGTGGGTAAAGGAAAGCGGAAAGATCCCGTGTGAAAAACAATGTATACGAATTTTGTAAGTAAATCAGTATAAAATAAAAAGGGGGGGAACCTACCAAAAATATTAAAAGTGACTGTCAAAGAGTAAATGCAACTATTTGTAAATTCAGTCAAAGTATAAAAGCCATGGGGATTTGCTCTGCGAACCCAAAAGTTGAGCTGTTGAAGCCCATCAGAGGCTCTGTGAAAGAAAGACGGGTATTCTCCTCTAAGAGGATTTAAAACCCCCTGGAAAGTCAGCAGTGAGTCAGTTCCACTGGAGAGCAGTGCGTTCTGAGTGCCTGGTGTAATCCTTCCGTTTCCCAGGCCGGTGCACTAGAACTGCCCATCTTTCAGGGAAGGATGGCTGCATTGAGTCCAAGGATTGATTGGCAGTGGGTTTTGGTTTTAATGTCAATCTGAACTCTGAGTAAATAATCCAGAGAAGCTGGACTATATATGAAGAGGGCTCAACTTGTTGAAAGTAGAGAGGACTTGAAGTCCTCACTGCTGAAATTCAGAATATGGGTTACACCTTGTGAAAAAGAACAAACAAAAACCCCCACAAAATTCTTACACCTAGACCAGAAAGCAGCATCATGAAAATATTGAAGCTGTGTTTCAGGAAATAATGAAGTTGTCAAAGATTTTGTTTTACTTGGTTCCACAATCATCACCGGAGGAAAACTCACTCACTTTACCTCTCATTGCCTTGGGATTGGAATTGACTTATAGCTGACTTGAGAATTGGGTGGAAGTAAATGGCCCATCTCTCCCCCTCTGAACAGTTCTCCCTGCCTATGGAAAAAGCAATAAAGCATTCAAATGATGTATTACATTGGGCAAATCTTTTGCAAGATATTTTTAAAGTGCTCAAAAGCAAACCTCCATGAGGACTAAAGAGTGCCTGGCTAAAGACATGGAGTTTTCAATCACCTCATATACATGAGGAAACTAACTACATGGTGAATATGGAAGACTAGAGAAGAATTGATGCATTTGAATTATGAAATTAGTAAATAATATTGAATAGGTCATTGGTCCTATAAAAATGAACAAATATATCTTTGAATTATAGCCAGATGCTCTTTAGAACTGAGGAAGTACAAGTTTAGTCTCACATACTTTACATATGTTATCAGAAGAGCTAGTCTCTGGAGAAGGACATTTAGCTAAAGAAAGCAGAGGATTGGCAAAAGACCCTTATTGAGATGAATTTTTTAAGAAAGAGTTCAAATATAGCAGTCTTTGTGAAGATGGTAAAGGACTGAACAGTTGTACATAGTGCCATATAAGTGCCATTCTGTTGTACATAGTGTCACTAAGTTGGAACTGACTTGAAGATTCCTAACAAGAGTTAAAAATATGTTCTGCAGTCTCACTTCTGTCACCGTGTCTACACTTTCTGACTATCATTTCCTCTTCTTGGTTTCCGATTTATGCATTCAAGTCACCAGTTGTTATTAGTGAATATTGTATGTGTGTTCAGTCAATTTCTGACTGCAGAAGTTGGAAGAAATCAGCAGTTTCCTCATCTTTGGCTTTAGTTGTTGGGGTATATGTTTTTGTATTAACAGATCAGCCTTGTATTCATATAGGTAGTATCCTGTCACTCATAGCACTGTTATTTCAGGATAAATTATGAAATGATCTTTTTGACTATGAATGCAACTCCATTCTTCCTTAATTATTCATTCCTAACATAATAAAGTATATGATTGTCTGATTCAGCGTGGCCAATATTAGTCTATCTCAACTTGCTGATGCCTAGAATGTTAATCTTTTTGCATTCCAATTCATTATTGACAACTTCCTAGTTAAATTTTTTTTCTAGATTCATATTCCATGTTCCAATTATGAATGAATGTTTGCAGTTGTTTCCCCCCATTATGACTTCCAATATTAGAACACTACCTCTAGTACTATATCAAACAGTGTTCTTCTCTTGTTCATAAGGTTTTTGAAGGTCTGTTATGTCATAAATGGATGACTAATCCTGCTTCCTGGTCTGTCTTAATCTGAGAGCTCTGCTTTAGTATAGCAATTGACAAACAAGTGCTGTACCCATAAGTTGTTGTTGTGTTGTTAAGTGCTCATCCAGTCGAGCACTATTCTTAGCCACCCTAAGAAAAAAAGACCTGAAGCTCTTCTATAACTATTGTCATTTCTCATAGTTCATAGTTTCCAGAGGCATGTTGTTTAGGAATTGGATACCACTCCTGCTTCCAAGCTCTGGTAGTCTAGTGGTAATAATCTACACTGCAATCCCAAAGGCATGTGGTTCAAATCCACCAGCTGCTCTGTGGGAGAAGGATGGGTGATCTCTAGTGCAATTAACTGCCTCTGAAAACCTTCTGTAGGGTCAGCTATGGGACTTGACAGTACTCAAAAACAACAACAACAACAGTATCCATAAGAACAATTGATAAACAAGAAATAAATGCATATGTAAGCTATTAAGATGAGCAACATGCAAATCACTCCCCCAGTAGAAGAAATTGACAGATATGTGAAATAAAGTTGTAAGAAAAAACAAAAAACCTGACAGATAAGTTTTATATCGCTAAAGCATACCCTAAGGACCATTTCAGTTAGGATCAAAAGCTAATTGTAATGAAACAAGAAAGTCAAGCTACACTGAAGACATTGGGCAAAAACTAAGGGCTGAGGAATGATAGGATACCAATTGACTTGTTTCAACAAAGAATTGTAGCCCTAGATGTGCAACCAAACTATGTCAGAAATTTTGGAGGACAGCTTCCTGACCAACTAATTGGAAGAGATTCATATTTGTTCCTATTCCCAAAAAAGGTGATCCAACAGAATGTGAAAATTACTGAACAATATCAATAATATATGCAAGTAAAATCCTGCTGAAGATCTTTAGAAAATAACTAGAAGTACTTCCTTCAGTAGAGAGCTGCCAGAAATTCAGGCTAGATTTAAAAGCAGTCATAGCATGAGGGATATTGGCAGAAAGCAAAGAATGCCAGAAAGATATCTTTTTGTATTTTATTGACTACTCAAAGGCTACTGACTGTATACAGCATAACAGATTATGGCTAACATTGATTAAAATGGAAATCCCAAAACACTTAATTGTGCTCATATGAAATCTATACCTCAACCAAAAAGCTGTTAATCTGAACAAAAGGAACACTGCATAGTTTTAAATCAAGAATAATGTGCAGCAGGGATGTGTCCTTTCTCCATACATATTAAATCTGTCTGCAGTACCTGAAAAGCTGGACTATATGAAGAAGAATTTTGCATCAGGAAAAGAGGAAGATTCATCAACAGCCTGCATACTGCATAATGCAAATGACACAATCTTGCTTGCTGAAAGTGAGGAGGATTTGAAATGCGGCAGAAGATCAAAGACTACAACCTTCAATATGGATTCTATCTTAACATCAAGAAAATGAAATCCTTACCATCAGGACAACAGGCAACATCCCGATATATGAAGAAGAGATAGAATTTATCAGTGATTTTATCTTGCTTGGATCCACAACACCCTTGGCACCAACAGCAAGGAAATCAAAACACATTTAAAAAAGACCAAGAGTATTGCATTGGGAAAATCTGCTATCAAGGACCTCTCCTAAGTGCTAAAGAGCAATAATGTCAGTTTCAAGACCTGATCCAAACTGTGACCTTTACTAAAAATTTGCTAGGTTGCTGAAAGTTGGAATATGTGTAAGAATGACAGGAGAAGAATCAATGTCTTTGAATTGTGGTATTGGAGAAGAGTGCTGGCTATCTTATAGACTGCTAAAGGACAAACAAGACAAAAAAAGGAAAAAGTGCAGCCAGGGTGTTCCATGAAGGCAAGAATTATAAAACCTGTCACACATACTTTGGGCATGTTGTTTGGTGGAGCCAGTCCTTGGAAAAGTGTATCATGCATGGAAAGGTAGAGGGTCAGGAAAGAAGGGGAAGATTTTCAAAAGATGGATTGGAACAGTGATTATAACTCTGAGCTCCAGTA